TTTCACGAACGTAGGGAACTGTAGACGAGAACTTTCGTTTCTAGACGTCGTTGAAATGTAACGTAACTGATGCACTGCTTTAGTCTACTGATTAAATGTTACCGTAATACCTAAAAAGATTTCCATCTCCGATAATTGTCTTTCTATTTCAGATAGTCTTTGCTCTTCAACTTCGGCGATTCTTGATGCAAACTCTTTTCCTCTCAAAGCTTCTTTGAGCCCTGAATCAAAAGAATAACGTTATTCAACGTTATTTCTGGTTATTTAGGTTGTAACGACAACAACCCACAGAACCCACTATTTCCCGCTCAACAGACTGATAATCAACCGACCCAATCAGGCGGCACACAAACCCTTATTCAGTTCAAAAAAACTGAACAAAGTTTGTCGAAGCCAAAAGCTGCCAAACGGACTGCTGGACACAGACGATAAGCGATAAGTCATTGACCGAAAGGAAATCACTGAGTGAATAAAAAATAGAAGAAAAACAAGACTTACTTTTTATATTTCTTATAGAAATTTCTAGTTCCGTAAGAGGTCGTCCTACTCGTATTTGTATCTGTGTTACATCCATTGGTTTGCCGACCTTTTCAGGAAAATCTCGTCCACAGCAAACTGAGTGTCTGCGCTGTCTTTTAGTAACGGTCTTCACTGAATTACCTTTGCCAATACATAAAAAATTAATTAACGGAAGCAAGCATTCAAGCCATTCAAACTTAAGGCCCTGTTACACGTTGATCTTTTAGCCGAAACTTGTCTGCAGCGGTGTTGTGAGACAAGTTTCACGGGGTTGTTATGTTATGAGAGAGAAAATTAATGTTTTTACAGACTAAGCTAAACATCAGTTTTCTAATTACTATTTCTTCTCGTATGAAAACAAGATAAAGAACGATCAATTAGCTATTAAAAATATCGATATAAGATTTCAGTAAGGCTACCATCACGCACAAGTTTAGATAATGGTATGCTTTGAATTCACAAGTGAACCTCTTAGCTCCTCCCATTAGCATTTGTACCTCGGGTTACGCCCTACACACTTTTTACCCCTTTGCTCACCTATCTTAGGACTACTCTTTTGAATCTTATGATAGAAATATTCCTTGTAGCCTTTCCTACACATTTACAATATATTCATATATCAACTTTAGTTTAAGCTATGTTTAATTTCAAGATTTTCACGGCGTATTACTCGTTAATAAGATATCACACTTAGGAATTTACTGCTTCTTTTGGCCAATCATGAGGAGCTAACAGTTACACGGTGCAATTTAGGCTTCGTGAAACTTTCGTCGCGACTGCTTTCTACTCGTGCAACTGAAGCTTGTGTTGCGAGCACGTTTCAGGACGAAATTACGCCGTTTATCACCCAATTGAAACTTGTCTCGCAACGCCGTTGCACGAAGGTTTCAGCTAAAAGTTTCAACTTGGCAACAAGGCCGTAATAGATACATACAGTCGAACCTCATATATTGATACCCACATATATTTCAATTATAACGAACCAACAAAGCAACCACTAAAAATAATACGATCGATATTTTGTGAAAAATGTGTTCTACCTTTTGCCTTCAAGAGGACAAGATCCCAGAGAACTTGGCGGTACTCTTCCTCGTCTATTGTAACCTCCACATCAATCTCTTCTCCATGGCTCACTTCCCTCAATCCCTTCATCTCATTGAAGGTTTTTTTTCATTTTTTCTTCCAACGAGCCATCCTTGTAGCTTTGCCATAACCGTTTTAGTGATGAAATACTTGAGACTTTTAAGACGAAAACAACCGAGCCTCTAAAGATTGCAACTAGTTGAGTCCCGTATTCCACAAATGGTTGAAGATCTTTCAGTTTTTCGGGATTCGTCCCATACATATATACAAGAGCTGCACCTGCCAAGGCTATTTGAACTCCTTTTATTGACAACACAGTTTTCAAATGTATGGCTGCAAAAACCGTAATCACAATTATACTATATTTATATTATTTTAATGTAATTATATAATTATATTATATTTATGTATTGCATGCCCTAAAAGATAATACTATTACATCATGGCCTTAACCTAGTAATGCTGTTCTGCTTTTTCTTACTTTTTCTTCGTGGCATGATTTGTTGTCCAGAGTTGCTATTGTTTCAAGTGTAAGATAAATCACTGATAACATTTTTTGATTTATTTTGCGTTTTTGTGAGCATTTCGACCCAGAAAAACGTCACAACTTAAAAGCCCTAGTATATAGTACATAGCATGGTTAATGTATCGTATCCATGTAATATTGCATGTGTTTCTTAAAACACTAAATAGATATATTGTTAGTCTTTAGAATTATACTGAACTAACCTGAGGTACATACTCCTCCTGTTAAAATAAACAAAAGATACATTACTATATACAGTAATGTTGTACCTGAATAGTGCATTCCAAGACCGAAGTACATTGTGAGCCATAGTGACATTGTCTAAAGTAGGATTAATAAGTATTATTTATTCTATTTTTAGTGTATTCCATCTGAAACAATATACTAACTATATGTAGAGAGTTAACTGCTGTATATTTACTTTTTATTTCAAATTAACAAAACCCACGATGCCCTTTGGTCTTGGAATATAATGCACTATTCAGTATGCAGTATTCAGTATTCAACCTTTATTTAAATAGCTGTAAAGTAGACATTTATAGAACCTAACGCCTGCATGGTATCCAAGTAATAAGGAGTTTCCACTAAACAGAGGTTCGCTTTTCTTTAAATATATGTTAATAAAATTTTGGGGTCCTAGCAGCTGTCTGTTTAATATAATGTTTTCTGCTTAATTACTATACCACCTTATCTGAAGGGAGATTGTATAGACAACTTTACCTTGGGCATAATTTCTTTGTTGAACGGTTGCACATGAGAAAACACATGAATTCTTCCCCATAATCCTTTGCGTCTTTGAGGGTAACCAGAGGGTAAAACCCCACTTATTTTGCTGAAGGCTGATCAGACAATGTTGAAAATACCTTGTTTGGTATCCAAAAATAAAATGAAGAAGTAAAAAACACTGAAAAAGATAGAACCTTGAAGACGTCTAAGGTAAATTAAAAAAAATTTTTCGTAAGTCAATACATTTTCTGTAAGACCAAAACTCTTCATGATCTGTACACGCAAAAATAACTTGGAATAAACTGATAATCAGTATTGTACAGAYAAAAGCAGGTATAGTATAAATTCAATTAAGAAACATTTCAATTTGGGACAGTTTTTTGATTGGTTACCCCCAAAGACGCAAGGCATTATGGGATGTGAAAGTAGAGAATATGGATATCATTTAAACAAAGAATCGTATTTATTAAAAACTCACCTTTAAACGTTTGCCACATAAAACCTATGGGAAGAACAAGAATAAAAAATAAAAGAAAAAAGAAAAAAGAAAAAAAGGAAAAAAACTTAAACAAAGCGAAAAAACAAAAACAAAACAAAACAAACAAACAAATCTTTAAAAATCATGATCTTATCATGAATAAATGATTATGATAATTAATCAAATTGAGCTGATCCTTGCAGTATATGAAGCAACTTATGCAGCTGCAAATTGAAAGACTCCCATAGCGATTCCGGTGCCATGCTCTAACCACTGAGCTACCATGCCAAGTCTCATATGAGACTTCAAGGACTTCAAGGAATCGCCAGGGCACGTGTTCAACTCACCTGCAGCTCTTCCTGCAACTATGAAAAATACAAAGACATTTATCAATATTTTAATTAAGGTAAAATATAATATTAGCATTAGAAGAACAAAATTTATAAAAGAATAAATTATTTTAAAATTACCATCGACTGTTCTCTGGAATATTCCTGAAAAAAATATGATATGAAAATATATATTAGTTAAATGACAATAATACTTCTTTCTATAGAGTACTATATTTCCCGACTGAGTCCAATAGTGCTTTACAGCAAGGCCGTAGTCACCAGTGATCTGGTTTTTACTAAAAAAGGTGGTCCTGTTTTTTTATTTACCTTTGAACGAAACATCATTAAGAGGGGAAAAAATGGTTCTGAAGATAAAAAGTGGTGCAAGCGGACCAACCACCTAGAAAAGCAGGATCCCCGAACAAGCCGGCTGACTAATTCTTTGCTCACTTCGAACAAAACCGAAAGCTATGCCCTGTGGAATGTCTCAGTCGTTACCCTAAAGTAACTCGTAATCTGCGGCCAGTCGTATCATCTTCCGAGCCAGACTATCTATTTACCTTCTTTATTCGCTCACACAAACCTGTCACCTCTACAACACTTGGACGATGGTTAAGGTCCGTCATGCAAAATGCAGGAATAGACAGCGAAATATTCAAAGCACACTCAGCTGTACGTAGTGCCTCAACTCCTGCCGTTTGTTTCATTGGCCACTATAATGTCTATATGGCGTACTCAGTGGTCTTCACCTTCTACGTTTAGAACTTTTTATTACAAGCCTACTCTTAATGCAGAGTTTGCTGTTGGAGTATTATCCTCTAAACGAACGTTTCCACTTATAACCGAGTGTTCTTTATTCTCAGCAGCAAAGTTATACTGAGATCATGAATAAAGTTTGCATTGTCAACCCTGATACAGTTTATATTTCACTTCATCAATACACGGTAACGTTAAAATCTACCACTAGTAGTCATCTCATATATTTCGAATTAATTCAGATTATATGAACACAGACGAAGTGAGAAATATACGAGTCCCTCCCTATACCCTACTCTGACGTTTCAGTCAATACCTCTCAGCACTGCGTCAAAAAGCCAGCGATGCACCATGGGTCCTTGACGTATATAGGTGCACAAGGGGTTATGGGTAGGGAGACCCTTTTACTTTTTTCTTAGGGTACCCTATGGGAACCTAATGCGTTAAAAAAGTTGTTTGAAGCACTAAACGGTAATTCTTAAAAATTACGACCACTAGTTATCTCATATATCGCGATTCGTGTGTCTTTAAAATATGGAAGTTTTGATCTATAACATAATATCCCAACAATCCAACGTGACCACGGTTAGCATAGAACGACAGTATATATTACAGTGTTGTCACTTCTGAAGGAAGCTAATCTATTGATGCTGATTAAAAAATTAGAAACACAGACGAATATTCGATGAAAACGGAAAGAAATATTTGCCCTAATCCACTATGACGTCAATCAAAATATCTTTAACAATCTATTGTTTAAACGCAAAGGATCATGGTCGTCGGAGGGGGTTAAATCAACGCAAATTCACCAAAAATTGTTCTAAAACCCGTATCAATCCACGAAGAGAACTAGAATAGCCAGCAAACGCTCAGAATATTTTTTAGTACATATTAAGAGGAATTTTTTTTCAATAACGAGCAATAATGGCAAAAAGCGCCCAAAAACTAGACTTTCGTATGAGTTTTGATTCCAATGTTCGTTTTGGGTTAACACTCAAAACCTTTTTTAAACAGTTAGAAACTGATGTACTATAATAAAATGCCTGTTTGAAGCGGTATTTTCAATTGTACGAAGATGCTTTGTTGCATTGGTGTTAGAATGTTGCTTTGTCAGGCTTTTTCATAGAAAATATATGTGAAATAAGCGAATGAAGGCCTAAACCTCATTTTCGAATAAAATTTTTGCTTTGGGTTAACACTTTGTTTCCACTTTCAGTGGCGGATCCAGGACTTTAAGAGGGTGGGTTTCATTTTTGCAAATCTTGGCACAACAATAACGTTCTCTTGCATCATCATTTTTCCCATGAGGCACATCACTGGCTTAGGGGCGCTCCTAATAAGGATAACCTATCCACCAGTCCCATTTCATATTAAATCTCATAAGTTAGTACCATACTTTTATTTATTTATCAATTTTAGAAAATATATAAAATCCAAGGTACCAGCCGGGGGGGGGAGAGGGAGGTTTCATTTGCACCCAATGAACCCCCCCTAAATCCGCCACAGACTTTCATCCGTCATCTCCACTTCCAAACAAGTTAAACTTTCCAAACAACAAGATTTTAGCCTCGTACAACAGCCTTTCTTCAAGAAAATAGTTTTTGGCGCTCACTGCTTGAATACGAAAAGAATTCTCTCTTAACATATATAATATATGAAAAACCAAGCCATTTTATGTTAAACTGTTTCGCTAGGAGCAAATTTTGTTGGATTTTCTATTGGATTTGGCGATTCTATTCCCCACATAAGCAAGCAGTGACGTCGCAGTGACGTCATAGTGAATTAGGTCAATTGTTCACGCGTGACGTTCGTCGACTGTAAGAAATATATACACAGTATTAGTGGCCGTGTTGTATACGAATATTGTATATTGCTTAACAAACGTCTAGGTTAGTTCCTTTGTGTTTAACTAAAATTTTCAAGATAAAAGCGAATCTGCCCAAGAAAATCCAAGTTAAAGTTTATGCAAATGAACATGATTCTGTATCGGAATTATAAAACTCTTCACGGTCATGATCTCTATTGTGCTTTCCTCATGAATCGCTTTTCTGCTGCTATTCCTTTTGTGTAACTGTCTGAAGCTACTGAATAAAATTATAACTCAAATTGCCTAGGGTCTAACTTTGAAAACCTTACGGTTCCTTTAGCCTCTAGTCATTTCCTTGAATGTAAAGCATTTTTTTCATGAGATATAATATAAAATAAAACTAAATTAGATGAACAAATGCACTAATATATATAAATATAAATATATATGTAAATATTCATAATATGGAAATGGAAATAAAAAATATTATGAGTTTGTTAAGATTCCATTTGGATTATGATTTAAAAACTTCTCTTGACAATAATTACAGTACCTGAAGACTCCGTTTCGAATTCCTCAATTTTGTGCTTAAGTTCTGGTAATTCAAGCTTCTCAGCTAACGATTTTAAAAGCTTTACATTGTTGTCTCCTAATAAACCTTGTTCTTCCAAGGTATCCACAAGTTTTTTTACATTTCTGACTCTTCTTCGTTCTTCTTCAGGGAGAGTTTGGCGGAAGCGGTCTTTAAGTTCAGCCAATGTGCCTCTTCCGCTTTTAATATAATCATCGAGGTAACGGATAGTCTCGACCCTAAGCCGATCATACAAGAATAACACATATTGAGGTTCCATGGTCCCAAATCAAAGTTCACGGCATTGAGACAGTTGAAACACATATTTAGATCCCGGAAATCACAGGAAGACCATAACATGGAAGCGCGTGGGTGTTCATTAAAGGCACAGGTAACCCAGGCTATCCACTTTTATAAAATGTATTTAGTAAATGTAAATAGATTTTGCAAAAATTTTGTAGGTTTCGCTAAGATTTTGAAAATATAAGTGTATTTTAGAAATAAGTGTACTTATCGTTTCTCTTTAAAATTGTCTATATCAGAGTTTTTTTTAGCGATTTTAGGGTGCGTTTTTTATTGGTGGTGGTGGTGGTAGTATTCACAAATAAACTTTTTGAAAATGGTTGTAGCCCTTCCTTTCACTCAAGTATGAAATCTATAACCGTCCTATTAGTCAACTCTCCCCTTGCTAGTTTTCTTCAAAAAAAAAAAAAAAAAAAAAAAAAAAAA